CTGAAGCCAAGTGGCACTTATTGTTCATTTCTGAACTGGGTTTTCCATGCCACATTTTCCTTACATGCCCCAAGCTGCACATGTAATTACATGAAGCATGATCATTTCTGTGTTAGCCACTCATCCAACATTTACTAAGCCCTGGCCAAACCCATACACACCACCACATATGCTTGAACCTAATGTCTACTACAAAAACCACCCGGGACCAATCATACCATATATTGATATCACAGGCTTGAGCCTATTAGTAGAAATACAAACTGGTCACAGAAAAATGCTCAAAAAATATGTGCTGAGCCAAAAGAGCAAGAGCCATATAGTTCCAATAATCACTTTAACTCAGGACCACCATATTCCAAATGGTATCTGAGGTCTTAAGAGTCATAGAGATGAGCATGGCTGATCACACAGGGCCAGTGGCCAGTGAGGTTCTACATAGATAGCATTGTTAAGTAGGCTAACTAGAAGGTAATGGCAGTGTTGGAAGTTGGAGAGAGACAGAAGGGCTACCAATTTGCTGACACTACTCTATATATTCAGGTATGTTTTCAAAATCCAAAGGTACTTGTTTAAATTTAAAAAAAATAAATAAAAGTCAATAAGCTCTTATCCCAAGATTTGTTTCATGGTTCTGTATACCTTACTTTCTATTATTGCAAAACCAGGTATAGTAATACATGCCCATAATGACAACATTTTTAAGACAGAGGCAGGAGGATCAAAAGTACAAGGTCATTCACGGCTACATAGCGAATTGTAGGCCTGCTAGGGCTTGTTTCCTTACTTGCACTTGGTACTTTTCATAAAAAAGAAGAGTGCCTTGAAACACAGTCCATGTGGTTTTAATCTTTTGAATCCCTCCACATTGCAAAGTAAGTACTCAATAACTGCCAGCTGTGTCTTCAGTCCTATCTGGATGATGATAAACGAAGCTGCTAAGTCTTCCAGTCCTCCAAACATGTATCTGTCTCACAGTACACTATTTATTTGCCTTCATGTTCTCATGAAATTACACAACTTTCTCCTGCCCTGTTTATCTAGACAGACCAGGATTCCCAGGCTGGTAAAATGATCTTGTCTCTTTCAAAGAGAGCTGCTTTATGCAGCTTTCATTTTCATAGTTCATTACATATAATCATTTAATGTGTGGTACTTAAATCCCTTCTAGAGTTGACATTGTATAGCAAATGAATGTAATCTATAGGAGACATTTCCTTGATTATTTTATTTGAATATTGCACAAATGAAAAGATAAGGGAATTAGACATTTAACTGCCATATAAATTAATAGAATGCCATTATTGGTCCCTTTTTTATATTGAAGCAAAATCATTATACAGTAATCATCACTAGAGGTGATAGGCAAATGGGGGCTTCATTCGGGCTCTACAACTGAGCAATTTGGATAATACAACAGAAAATCCAATATTGCTCCCAGCATTAACTACTCAACGTAGCAGGAAGCAATGTCTTCTCTTTGCTTTTCACAATTAATCTTAGCCATAACAGGCAGTGCTCTTTGCCAGCCTTGGGCTCTGAATTTGATTTTTCAAATTCCAACAGTAATCCTGAAATCACTTAGGCATCAAGAAATGGTCTTCCTGTTCTGAATACTTCATCATAATTTAAATTGCATCTGTAAGTGGCTAATGCTACTTACCTTGCAAGGGCTTTTCAGATTCATGAGGGCAGGAAAAGGGTGGGGGTGGGGTGGGACACAACACACAAATGAGATCTAGAAAAGCACACGATAACTGTGAAAACAGCCCATCCATCATCCCCACATTTTGATTCAGAGACAGGAATGGAAGGTGCTGTTTCCACACCACTCACCCTGCAAACACACAAAGGTTTGCTCCATCGAGAACACAACTGAAACTGATTGATTAGCTGCTAGAGAAAAATCAATACAAATATCCTAGAAAACACCAGTCTGTGAGTTCAATCTGGCCCCAACAAAGTCCTGGTCACTGCTTGACATGTTTTTCTAGATATCTAAAAATGTGGCTACAAGGAACCCAGCAATCCCAGTCCAGGGACCACAGCTAATCCCCATAATTTTATTAAAAAGGAAAAAATCCTGACTCAGCAGAGAGGAGGGAGACCAATATCCCAATACACAAATGTAGATCTACCTCAAAACGGAAAAGACTGAGGTGAGCGAGAGGAAAAGGAAAGCAGCTAAGAAAACAACTAAATATGGACAGGCTTTATGTACAAGAGAAATGAGGGTTCAGTTTATGAAATATAATCTTGACTTCAACGCTGCCCATTCAAAAGTTAGTAAGTGCACTTTTGGCAGGTAAATGCAGGAGCAGCACATTCAACACTTCAGGAGGGCATTTTATCCAGAAGGATATCCTGAGTAGTTTACTCTCTCTTCTGAGAGCTGCTTGCCTTTCAATTGGCCTTTAGTTTTCACATTCACTATGGAGACAGGAGATATGCTTTATAAATATTTCATTAATATGCTACTAAGGAAGAAATTACATTCTTATCATGTATCCTATTACATGACAAGAAACCTGGATTCTAATCCTAGTCTACACAAGTTTGGTTTTGTTTTGTTTTTAACATTTGTATTATTGACACTCAGAAGCCATTAAACGAAATTAGAAAAGGAATGAAAGAAAATGCCACTGAAACAAGGTATGGTGACACACATCTGTAATTCTAGCACTCTGTAGGCAAAAGCAAGAATATTATTACAGATTTGAGGCCAGCCTAGTCCACATGGCAAGTTCAATGACCCAAACAGCAAGAGCTTGTCTCAAAAAACCAAAAAGAGGGAGTAAAAAGAAAGGGAGGGAAAAGCAAGGGAGGAGGGGGAGGACCATTGTAAGCACAGGAAATTCATCTGTACTGATAAAGGAATTTCCTGGGAGCATACTGACACTTCATCTTTGAGTAACATTTCATAGACCGGTGATTGTTACTCACAATGGGGTAAGCCTTCTAAATCACGGTGGAATGCTTGTAGCTCAAAGTCACATAAGTTATTAAAGAATCAACAAGTCATAGAAAAAAGAAAATGTGACTTTCCTTCTATCATGTTGCCTGTAAAATTATCACTTGTGATTTGAAATTTTATAATTCTATGAGACTCTTAAAGTTTCAAAGTCTTTTGTAGAAACAAACCTAGCCGATGTGTTTACAGTTTGAGCTTTCAAGGTGATATTTCCTAGGATAGGACAAAAAAGTGCATTTTTCAAAATCAGACAATGAAAAGTGACTATCATATTTACATAGTTCATCTATAGAGAATTTATTCATAAAATACATTTTAAAGCAAAAGAAAGCCTACATTTGTTACAGATGTTACAATGATCTGCCCAAATTAGGTTTTTACTCCTGGATTCATTTTAAATTCCTTTACTGTAAGGAACATATCTACTTCATTCTCTTTCACAGAGCCAACAACTTACACATGTTTAGAATTGGTACAACAGATAATTCTAAATTGGCAGTGAGGAGAAACCCCAGCTTGAAGAGGTCAGACAGCCTTTTCAGATCACCTGGGCAGAGCAGTGTTTCAAGCCCAAACCACACAGTGGTTCCCTTAGTAAGGTATGCCTGGCCTCAGCACTATAGCAACAAGGCCATGTGCTACTCAAATGAGTCACCTATCTAAGACCAGGGTCGAGGTTTCAACTCTAAAATACAGATAACAAGCAGAATGAAAGAAAGGTAAAATGCCCTAAGGTAAAACATAGATGGAAGAGACACTGGTTAAATTAAGTTGAAAAAGCTCATGGGACAAGCCTAAGCTAAGGCAGAGCATTCCATAATGAATAATAAGTCTGTATGTTTTTATTTAGAAGCTGGCTGACAGACCAAAGAAAACTCCAACTACAGGAGTTGATAAATAGATCAATTATTTATTAATAGATTAATAAATATCCCATTAACAGACAGACACATGGAAAGGCAAGCAGCAGTTAAAAGTGCCAGCCAAGATGACCAGGTTCATAAAGGTTTCTATTCAAACTCTTGCCCCTTCTGAAAAATGCTTCCAGGAATCTTTCTGAAGAAAAGACAATCTCCCAGAACACACACACAAAAACTAACACTAAAAACTGAGTGTTATCAAGAACCAACACGCTGCCTTTGTTTCTTATCAGCACCTGGTTGAATGTGAACATGGAAAATGAGTACGTTAAAAATAAACGGTTAAAAAAATTGGTTTTCATGTCAGTAAATGATCCAAGGTTATGCTTTTCTATATTACATGAAACATTCCAAATTCATGTTGATAAAAGCTTTAAGCAGACTGACTAAAGAAATGTGTTTGGAATGCAAACATTGTAACATTCAGGGTCTGAGTACTGAACATGGTTTTCCAAGTTACTTGCTAAAAGGAAAGTAATTGCCAGTAACCCACAAGATGAAGAGACAACAGACTACTAGCATGTTGGGTTTAAAAACATACCACTGTTATATACACAGATTAAAAACAAAGACAAAAGAGGAAGGTCATGGCTTAAGCAGTTATGTGTCAAAACAACTGTGACTCATGGTAAAGATAAGCCTTGCTATATTTGATGAGGACAGAAGGCATGATTCAGAGGACAATAAGCATCCCAGGGGATTGATCCTCTCAGGACTCTCCCCAATACCAGTACACCCCAACCCACAGCTGTGAGTTTCATTCACCCCACAAAATTCCTAACAAATTTCAGAGCTATGAGGATGAGCAATTGACTAATTTCTTTCTTTCACTTATTCATCCTTATTTTCCCTTTTTCATATCTAGAGATGGGTGATGCTGAAATGTGCTGTTTACCTGAGAGTGGTTAAACAGAAAAATCATACAGGACCATAATCAAAATAAATATGGCTTGAATGATTAATCTGATACTATCCTCTGTTAGCTGAGCCGGCACTTAAACTTCAGACAGTTACAGAAACTGGAACCTTTTTAAAAGGAAGCATTGCTTAGAAGATGAATATGACTACTTGAGAAGACTGACTTCAAACATAATTCTAAAAACTCTTACCTTGAAAAGACTGCTTGGCTCTCTCTACAAGTTCATCAATGGGATAACTGGCCAGGTTTCCTCTGGCATGTTTAGTTTTGCAGTAAGTACAAGCATTGAGACACCTGTTCAAATGATGACAATAAATAAGGCTCAAAAATTTAAAGACAAGGCATACATAAACTGACAGGCAAAACAGTGCATTGACATTTTAGTAACATTTGCTTAATTTATATGAGATACAAAAATAATTATCTACATGATTCATATTTAACTTCCATGAGGAGCAGAGTTGGTAATCCTTGTGACTTTTAACTGTGAGAGAATGATCACAGAAAGCCACAGATTATCCTGAATACACAAATCTACAAAAAGCAAAATTTATAAATACTTTAGATGATTAAGCACACATAGATTAAACATCTATGAGAACCCAAGTTTATAAACCTCAGGATTAATCAAAGGAAAATCAAAATACAGTACTTGGGGGGGGTGCACTACAAGTATTTCTTTGGCCATCAAATAACTAGAAAAAATGTAGTATTACTTATATGTAGCTTTTTAAGAATATTAGTATACTCATTGAAATTTTAACTGATGATTTAAAAATGAACGAGCATGCAACAGCATTTTTTTATCAGAAGATTTCAGAATACTTTTCCCTCCTTGAGGAAACTATTAAGATGCTCCCTTGAGCATTCTGGGAGTTACATCAGCAGAGAAAATGAGCAGGACAACTGCAGTAGTTGAGAGAAATGGAGGAAAAGTGACTTGTCCACTCTAGAATATTGAGTCCTTTAGTTTTGAAATACAACTTAAATAAGTGAATTACCAAATAAAATAAAAAATTTTAATATATGAAAAAAATCAAAGTCTAATAACACTGAACAAAACACGTAGTCTCTCCTCAGTGATGCAATATCCACTATAAGGAACAAGGCCTCCAAAAGACCATTATTACACAAATTCTTCAAATCTTCACATTGTAAACAACAGAATTTGATAAATGAATGTCACAGACATGATTCTACTGGTATACACCTGTGAGATATGCATGAATCATTCTCCTTAGTAGTCAAACCAACAATACTTAATGTCTGATAGTTTTGCATATAACTTTAGGGAACAGCAACATTGTACATTTTGAAATGCACTTTACTAATTAAACAACCTCCTGAGCAATTTACATTTCATTTCAAAAATTGAGGGCATTTTGTAATTTTGGAAGAATGATGTTTGGCTCTTTTGTCCACAGAGGATAACCCTTCTGTTTCCTTCTGACTAAGGAGAAATCTGTTAGGTTCAACATACAAGAGTTCCTTTAGCCTTGTCTGTGCCGGGGCATATTATCAACAATGTCTAGCACACAGAATAGGGATCCACCTCAAAAAGTAAGTAACCTAAAGTCATAGAACAGCTCAGGTTCAAGTCCAGACTTGCCAGATTTCAACTTTATGGTTCCTCCCTATGACCTTCCCCCTGGAATAATTGTACATCAGACATCCTTGGGGTGGCATGGTAGTGTCAATGTTTAACAGAAATGAGGCTCTGTGCTCCATTTTTAACATTCCAGTATCAAAATCAACAAACACCCAAAATAACAATAGAAACCATCGTGTGTGTGTGTGTGTGTGTGTGTGTGTGTGTGTGTGTGTGTGTGTGTGTGTGTGAGAAAGAAAGAAAGAAAGAAAGAAAGAAAGAAAGAAAGAAAGAAAGAAAGAAAGAAAGAAAGAAAGAAAACAAGGTCCTCATCCAGCAGGAGCTACGGTAATGCAGCATAATTTGATAGCACTTACTCTCCTCCATACAACATTTGTTTGAAATATGCACTTCTCTGCTTTAGTTTTGAGGGATCTGAAGTCAGGCTTCCTGTCTGGACTGGCCCATGCTCGTACTTTGCATTCCTGCTATCTTCTGTTTTCTGTTTCTCATCTTCTTGCTGAGTCTATGGGCAAAATGTGTCACTTCACAGGACTTTTTCTGTTTCAAAATCTGGAACTCAATTCCCAGTGCTGTGCTGGGTACCCCGGGAAGCCAGTGTGCTCTCTTATTTTTCTTCAAGTGTTCCCATGTATCTGGGATTCCCCTCTGATTGACATTTACTGAAATCAGCACTGTTCCAGGCAAGCTGCCACATCAAGCTCTAATGCTACTTCAGGGACCTTGCTCTCCTTCTCTTTGTCCCATCCAGATGAAGGGTACTGAGAAACTCATGGACAATCATGAGAGAAGCCACTAAGACTTCTGACAAGGGTTGCTTGTTACAGGATACCATGTCAGAGGAAAGGGTAAGAAGTGAAAATAGAAAGTAGGGAAGGGAAGAAGTGTTTTAAACAAAACACGGGTGAATTGATACAGGTAAGTCATGTAGAAAAGACTTTCACTGTTGGTAAATTTCAAGTACCAGTCACGAGGTGTTTTATGATACTAGTGTTAAGTAACATTAAGGAAATGCATTAAGTTTAGATTACCAGGTGACAGGTATGCCAAACTCTGCAGAACAGACATATTGAGAACAGCTTAGCTTAAAAGCAGGTGTGGAAACCAAATGACATTTTCCTACTGTCTTATTCAATAATGACACAAGAACAGCCTCTCCACGTAAAACTTATGAAAATGTACTAAAAGTGGAAACAAGTGATATTCCCAAAACAATTCTAATAGTCAGAAAAGCTAGGAAATATAAATACTACATTAGGAGTTTAAAATACTCTTCACTCAACTGTTCTGCCCCAAATTGTTGATGAGACATTTTTGAATTTTAAATTTTCATTTATAAGATAGATTCATTCTCATCTATCAATATATTTTTAAAAAAGCTTACCATTGATAGTGACCTTAAACTTAACAATTCTAAAGTGCACATTTCTATAAACATGCTGCAACAGGACCAACTCAGGCAGTAAGTCTTATGTCTAACTAATAGGAAGGGTCTATTACAGAGAAAAAACACAATGCCAAAGAAGAGAAGAATGAGCTTTTTGATGTTTCAAAACATTTTTTTTTTTTTTTGCAATCACCAGGAACTGTGTTGACCAGTAATTTCAACACTCGAAACCTCCTTTAAAATAAAGGAATTCATAATAGATAGTTTCAATTGTCCTTAAGCAATTAAACAATTGTCCAAGAGTAAGAACTCTGAGCCAGTTTCTTCAACCGTCAGAAAACAAAAGATCTTTGAAGGCTCACTGCTAAAAGCCAAAACCAAACTTATATGGCCGCTGAAGTGCAAGGATGCAGGAAACCCTCCACAGACCCTGGCTGTGGTTCTAGAAGAGAAAGCCCAACATACCTACACATCTTGTGAGCTGGCCGTTGGCCAAGAAACTCTAACAGGCTCAAGAGCAGAGAGAGATTAGATTGAACTCAGCAGTACAACTCTGAGGCCTGAAAGAGCATGTGAGATAGAATATTTTTAGACTATATAAACTAAACAAATGAAATAACAATGAAGGTTCAAAAATCAAGATATCCCAAAAGATTGGAACACAAGATAACATGCTAACTCAATACCTGTCCATGGGAAGCAAATGAAAACAACCCCATAGCATAGTCTTTTAAAAACTTTAGATACTGTAAGTTCTGCAATAATTTAGAGAGCACAGTCACACTCTAAAACACAGCCCATATTATCTGTTTTTTATATGGGGGCAGAGTGAGAAAGCTAATATGACTTAAGCTCCTGCTTCTCCTTGCTTCTTGGTCAAGAATAAATTTGAATATGCAAAACCTATTTGAGAGTAAAGCATTAAGAATGAAGTATTAATTACTGAAATAGGGCATTGCAGTCTCTCCATATACTTTAATCCTAGCTTATTTTTAATCAGTTGGTAGAGTATAAAATCTTTTTAGAAGCTTCAAGTGTGACAAAATAATAAGCTCTTAGAGATAGCTAAGTCTTGGAAAGGCTACACTGTTATCTGACTGTGTTCTTCTACACTGAGCTATCATCATACAAAAGAAAAAGAAAAATCTAAGAAACAAAATATTTGAAGGATACAGGCGATGACAGACCTAGCTGTTAAAAGCACTTACTGTGCCTCCTCATCGGGATTTTAAAGGATTTTTCCAAAGAAAAATGACCAAGTGTTTGAACTATTAAGCAAATACAGGAGATACTATCAGAAGAATGATTAGCGCTTCAGGTGATAAAAAGATGCCGGTTTGCCAAGGCTGAAACACTAAGCAAAGGAAAATGGAGCACCAGAAACACAGCAGAAGTGAGGCTCCAGAATAAGGAAGTCTTCAACTTTCTGAGACCAGGACTCTCCCACCAGAGATGATGCCTTCCACCTTCATCACTGACTGCCTGTTCTCTACAAAACCCAGAGCTTTTCAGTATCTCTTCCATTGTTCTCTATCATTACTTCCCTCTCCTGTGTATTAAAAATTATATTATAGAGATTGCGCCTTCATTCCCCTTACTTCATCCCTATTGGCTCCATTCTTTGCATCAAAAGGATGAATTAATGGATTTTCACTTCCACAGATTTCATCTCCATTGTCTTTACTCTTATGGACAGTACCCATCGATTCCGATAAAATTTAAGACCTTTAAGATAATTTTGGTAGGAATGGCAGCTGACAATAGCAAGGGAGGATTGCTGTACGTTTGCCAGACACTAAGTTAGGCATTTTACATAATAAAGATGCCAGAGGCATTATCTAGATCTTTCATAAAGGAAACTGAAGCTCAAAAGGATTACAAATTGTGCCTAAAGCTACACGGAGCCAAGTGAGACTCAATTTCTTCCGTCCTTTTTTCAGTGATGCTGGAGACCACACCCAAGACCTCAAACACATTAAGCTTCTATTATAACTCCAGCCCTAGACCCAAGCCATCTTATCAGAAATTCCCACAGCACAAATTGTATTCTGTGCTGCTCTAATGACCCCAAAACTAACTCTGTGAGAATACAGACTGATAGCATGAGCCTTTAAAAACCTTACAGTTGGGAGGTTGGTGAGATGTCTTATTGAGTAAGAGTTCCTGCTGCACAACAGAGGGGATTTAAGTTCAAATCCTCAATACTCATGTAAAAAGCTAGATGTAGCCAGCCATGCCAGTATAAACTATACAATGTGGCAGGTTGGAGACAGAAGGACTGCTGAAGATTTGGGTGAC